TATTTTCAGTGGTGACATGACATTTTAATATTTTATCTGTTAGTGTTTCTCATACACAGGAATAAAGAATAGAACACACTAATGGCTGCTGACATTTAGGTTTCAGTCAAATTTGAATATTTTCTTGTTTATTTTAACTACATTGTGTGAAAACATTTGTTTTTTGGGGATGCTGCTCCCTGATTAAAGGAGATATTTTCTTTCTCTCTGTGTCTGTGCGGAGTTTTTGGCTTTACGTACGCCATGATAAGCCAGGCTCTACATCTGTCATTGGTTTGTGTGTGTGTGTGTTTGTGTATAGAAAGAAAAAGTCTACTTCATCACACCTGCTCTGTCACTGACAGAGGAGGTGGAACTGGTTTATCATCCTCACATTAACACTTCCACATCTGTGGCCCACTTCTCCTCCACAACACAGACCACAGAGCAGTAAGGACGAGCTAATGCCTTTCACCGAAAACAGTCTACTTACTAAAAAGATAAATCTATGCTAGTGCGGCAGGAGGAAGCCAATAAGATTCTCAGAGAGCGACCCCCTCCCTCCCACACCCTCACCACCTTTCTTGATGCTGTAATTAAAGTCGTAAAATTGTATGCATGAAATTGTGACAGGTGTATTGTCACAGTTCTTGCTCCAGACGTGGTGGTAACTGATGGTGTCTCGCTGTATGGAGTTTGCACAGGTTTCATGAGGTACTGCGGTTTCCCCACACATCCTGAAAACAGGCAGGATGAGGTTGTTGGGACAATTTACTAGACCTGTCCAGGGTATATCCCGTTCTCACCCAATGACTGATGGGATTGGGTCCTGTTCTCCTCCCCCCTACCCTGAGCATCAAGTAGAAAATGTGCAAAAGAATAGATAATAAGATAATTGTTTGATTGATTGATTGTCCACCTGCTGTTGCCTGGTGTCCTGTACATTGATGACGGACATCTGTCAGTCTGACGGTCGCTGTCCGTGAGGCTGAAGATTTAGATCACAACCTGCTAACGTTTGAAAGAAGCTCAGTTGTACACTGTGTTATGTAGCTAAGCAAGTGAAGAACATTTAAAATCCCTTTGCCCCTATGCAGCCCCTTCTTCTCTGTTATTGTCTACATAAACATAAATGCTAATTACCAGCATAAAGTAGTAAATGTCTTGACAGTCAAGAAAATGAGAATTTAAGTATAAGACGGAAGGAAGAAATAAACACAGCAGTAAAGGCCGCATTAAGCGTTTAGGGTATGGTGTGCTGTAATGAAGGGATGTAATGACTTTTATTTTCTCTTGTTAGCTTCCTCAAACATCAGCAGTAAGCTGCAGATGAGCACAACACTTGGCAGTGTTTCCAGATAATCACTGTCAAAGACCCTGCGCATATTCATTGCAGTATTATAAAATGATTGTATGCATCCCTCAGGTAATTAAGTTTAATTAGATCAACCAGGATCAAATTTGATTTCGCGAAGATAGTGCTAGAATACTTCCACTGAGATTTATCTGCATATTCTCAACAACCACACACTTGTGCTTAAATAATTATGTATGCATCAATATTTGATGAACAACAAAGATGTTAGTGCCCTGCAGTATTTTTGAGCTGGAGCCATGGGATTATGTTAAAAGTGTTCAAACAACCTCATCTATGATTCATTTGTTGCCTGAACCCAAGCCACCACTGCTTCACTGTTCAGAGCTGATTCCAGCCTGTTTGTGGGAGATAGCCAACAGACAGAGGCTGGGTTTCAAAATGCTAAGATATGTGTTAAAATGAAAACAGTTGGAGCGCAGAAAATGTTAGCCTTTTGTGGGTGTTGCTGTTCCCCTAGTTTCTGTTTCCAGTCCATCTCCTCTCAACTGCAAGTCTTTCCAGTCCTCATTAATGCTAATTTATTCAGCCGGGCTAGTGGTTAAAAAAAAAAAAAAAAAAAAAAAACGAGAAGAAAAAAGGAAAACAGCAGGGCGGGGTCCCCTCTCTTGATTACCAGCACAGAAAGTAGGGGGTGTGGGAGTCTGAAGCTGAGGCAAGGGTGACCTGGACAGACACCTCATTTAATTTAATACATTGGAGCATGCAACAGCGGGGGAGTGGAGGCAAGGGAGGGAGATAATCAAGAGACTGGGCCCCTTAAAATGTGCTCTAAGATGACATGGAAGAGATTGGATTTAGAAACCAAGAGCAATGAAAAGCAAAGCTGAGGGTAACACAGTTGATTGATTCCATTCAAATGATTGCACCCACTGATGAGAAATGATTTTTCAGGGAGGTGGATTTGGGCAGATTTCTGTTTTTTTTATCAACCTAATTCAGCAGACTTATATCATTAACATTTTTACTACTAGAAATACAAACAACAAATGGTATTTTGTAACATATCAACTCTCATCTTTACTGTTTCACAGTAGTTACAAAAGTGACGACACGTAGGAGTACTGTATGTGAGCAAGCAGCAGGCTCCAAGAGTCAATACTATATGGAAAATTTTAGTATTTTGTGTTTGAAAAGAGAATGTTGCTTCCCTTGTCCTCCACAGGGGGCACTACAATGCAGATTATAGTCCATATTACATTCACTGGTACATCATTGTTTTAGATAATCCTGCAACTTGCAGAATAGATGTGCACCTTATTGACAGACACAGCTGAGCTAGCTGTCAAAACAGCCAGTTAGAGTTTGTCGACTGATTGCTGTTAGCTGTGAGCCAACGCTGATCTGTGGAGCCGTACTCTTCCAACTCTATGAGAAACCAATAATCTAAAACATAATGTTCTAATAAGGTCATTTATTTAGTTTATTATATTGCAGTCATTTAGGAATATTATCTGTTGAAAAAAGATGTTCATTTTAATATATTCTTCTAATGTAGTGTAGAAGCTAACTGCTGCTGCAAGCACAGATGTTCACACTCCAGAATCTTTCAGAACTATTGAACCAAACAAGGTTGAGTCTTCTATTTCATACTTCCCAGACATTTCAAATCAAAAACCGTGATGAACCTCATGGTAGCGTCTTATCTGTCCCTCCATGTTTTTCTCCTTTTAACATGGATGTCATCCAGACTCATGACAAGCAGCGCTGCCCACTTTACCAGACTCCATAAATTAGACATAACCAGATTATTCTTTTTGTGTCCAGGCCTCAGTTTGACAGAATTCAGCCTTAATACCCGTATCTACTTGTGGGATGGCTACGATACGCTAATGCAGCTCTTCAAAGTAAGATAATACCTGAACCCTTGGCCCCCCGTTCCTCCAAAGATGAGAACTCCATCCTTGTTGCTTCTGGAACTCTCGAGACATCACTTGAGGGTATAAACCCCACCTGCATATTGCTGCTTTTTCAACTGTGACGAATGACAGGAAATCAGATTTTGTCCATGGCAGGGAGATTATGAGATCTCTCCATCCTCATGACCAAGACCCTGTCTCTGCTCTTTACCCATTGAACATGATTAAAGCAAATAAACGTAGCGTCATTGAATTAGTCCGAAGGACGTGGAGTCTCCATTGCTCATTGTCTTTTCCCTTTTAATGAAATGCTGCTTGAAATTAACATTGCATCGACTGATTTGATTTAACATCGCCTCAGGAAATTCCAGACGGCACTCATCTGCCAGGAGACGCCTCCAGATCCTTGTCAAGCCGTGAGGATCAAATGTTAGAGCAAAGCAAACATTTCTCTGCTTCTGCAAAGTTCACAGGACCTGATTGAGTTAATGGTGATGCAGTGCGTGTGTTTTACTGATGATGTCAGACGACAGAGTGGAGAGACTGACTGCAGTGTCAGTGCCTCTGTCGCTGGACTGGAGAATGGCAAAGAATCAGTCTGATAAAATATGATCAGAATATGTCGGGTCTGTCTGTTTTTCTGTGGTTATCACCCTCACCTGTGTCCTGTGATTCCCTGCTGTTATTCTCACGTGTCACCTGGTGCCCTAGGTATATATTTATACATATATTGGGTCATTGTTCAGTACACGTTGTTCCCTGTACATTTACTGCTTATTGCTGTGGTCCTGAATGTTCCTGTTCTCCTTGTGGTTGGTGGTTGGATCACCTCTGTTACGGCAGAGTTGATGTGTTTAAGTTTGGACTCTGTTGAATCAACTTCAGTTCTATGAGTGCTGCATTTGGTTCCTGCCTGCTTTTCCTATTACACAAAACGTGACATATTCAAAGTGATTGAAAAAAACCAGCTGACAGGAAGTTCATTCTTTCAGCTGAACGTCACCTTGTGTGTCCTTAAATATAATTATGGTGTTTTGAGAAGACAAGGGAAACATTATAACTGTGATGAGACTTTTCCAGGACCAAATAGTACTGTATTTATTCCACACTGAATTCAGAATACGTTGCTGTGGCGCAGATAAAGCACAGAGTGATGTGAAAAGTCCAAATATTAAAGGCGGTCTTTGTGTTCAAAGGCTTTTGTGGCTGTGTTTAATGAACAATTGCATCACAGAGCTCTACTGTGACCTTTGATTGAACATCTTTTGAAATAGGAAAATACTGGCAAAACGTCTGAAGTCGTCATCAATGCCATCACAATAGGGCAAACGCTGCCTGAGCATGATTTTATTACTTCATATGTAAAATACCAGAAATATATTTATTTGACCAAGAATAGAATCTACTTTAAGTCTTAATGGTTCAAACAATTAAATAAAATGTACAAACATGATTGTCTGAATGAATTATCTCTATATTTAGGGTATTTATTTATTTTACTTTGTCAGAACTTCCGCAGTCTAAATTATTTTTGCCTGTTTGTCTTTATATTTTTAATATTCTATTTGTACAAAACACACAATTTTCAACTAAGCCCCAGCACAGGACTACAACTGAGTATTAGGGCCAAAATAAAAATCTAATAATATTGTTAGACAGAATAAAATATTTAAATTTATTTGAGTGTCCGGTCCCAAGGTGTCCATCCAGAACAAATCTGACCCTGCACCAGTTACAGTTGGTGATCCCTGTTGTATATAATGTATATAGAGAATACACTGTGGAAACATTTCAGTGTGATTTCCACAATATTTTTGTGGCTGCCTCACCTTCTTTTGGGCCTGTTTGACATGAGGGCTCATTGGTCAGTGACGATGTCCAGCAGCCTCAATGTTAATGTCCAGTGAAGGCCTGGACACATGAGGACCAGTCCTCCCTCTCCTTCTACATATGCCTTTAGTCCACAGCTGTAGCAGCCGTCACACAACCTCAGGCAGCCTAGTTAGCCCTGAGATATAAAGCCTGGACCCACGATCAATAACTTTAGTCTTGTCTGTCTAATTGCTCATTGGTCGAACATTGGCGCCAGACTGTACGGTATGTAAGTGCACGTTCCCTCGAGTGTCCACTCCGACTCCAGACCCAACACTTTCAACCCACCGTTGGTCTCATAGTCTTCCTCTCTCTCTCTTTTCTGTTTTTCCTGTCCTCGCTTCTGTTACAGATAGAAAGATTCTGACCTGATCGGCTGCTACTCACTTATCCCAGCAAGATGAGAGCGTCCGGTTGATCTCAGCGGGCCCGTGACTCCCAAGCTGTGCAGGTAAATATCTAGGTTTAAGGACGAACAGGGAGATTAGCCGGTTATTTTGCTCGTAAATTCAAGCGGCAGGAAATTAGTCGGTCTCGTTTGGGGTTTTCAGAACGGCTTATTATATGATCTAATGCGGGTGCACTTTATGAGCAGAGTATGGTGAGGGCAGTATTGATTGTGCTCATTGAGAATTATGTGAATAGATAAAAGTGTGACCGTGCATATATATTAGACAATTATGTGCTCAGGTGCTAATGTAAAAATTCTGCTGAATAAATATGAAACATGCCTCTATCAGCACCCAACCTGTGTCCCTTCAACAGCAGTCATTTGGGATGATAATTGGGACGGTGTGTTTGCTTTCTCCTGATGAGACGAGCTATTGTGATAGCTTTTCTCAGCCCGGATTTAAATGTGTATTGATCACGACGAGGCTCAGGAGCTGAAATGAAGGCAGCGGCACAGCCTTGGTGCTCCTTCGCAGACTTCTACCTTTGTGTTCTACATTTTGTGGCAAAGAATTATTAAAATCTGTGCCCATAAAACAGCCTGTTGTTTGTGTTTGACTTAACAAAATAAACTCATTTGTGTTTTATCTGGCCCTCTTTTTCCACGGCCGGCGTGCTAATGTCGTGATTTAAATGAAGTATTGATCAGTTTAGGAGGGGAGAATAGAGAGAGAGAGGGAGCGATTGTGAGGGAAAGAAAGCAAGACCAGGGTTATCGGTGTGGATCGCACACAGAAAGAGAGTGCTAACGGATGAGACACGTTTTTAGTCATTCCATGAATTGGATTTTTGAATAATCTGTGTTTTTTTTAAATTCAGGAATAAGTTCTGATCTCTTTAGTCTGACTTATTCCATGAAATGGACAAGGAGATGAAAGCAGTTTTTTTGTTGTTGTTGTTGCTGATGTTTTTTAATTTTTTTTTATGTTCTTTTTTTTTTTTAATGACAGCACCTGCCATCCAGTTGCAGTTGGCTAATCGCACCATGGTCCGAGTTTTTGGACAGTTCTCCGTCTAGTCTGGCTTCAACCACCTTCACATCGACAACAACATCAGCTTCGTCAGAGACTGTGGACAGAAGCCTGCGTCCCAGTGAACCAGGGTCTAGGTTTGTCTGTTTGTCGTCTCCTCGGTGTCCTCCCTTACTCTCTCTCGCTCCTGTTCCTCCCTCTCCTACAGTATGTTTCTCTAGCCCCCCCTCCATCCCGTCCCCTCTTGTGATTTAGCTCAGGATGTATTAATTAATTGCTGTTTATCATCATTGTTGTTCGCGTTCAGGGCTGTTGTCTGTTGCTGCGCTCATTCTATCCTGGATTTATTTCATTTTTGTCAGAAATCAATATGAAACAGCCGCTCGATCTGTTAATATTAGAGTTACCTTGGATGTGTGAAATATTAACGTTACATTATCTACATAACATAACATATACATTGTTAACATTATTAATTGTGTAACTAAATAATATGATACATTTAAATGATAGAATTACTATTTACACTGCCATTAAACTGACATAAATGATATAAATACCAACAGGATTCATATGATATTGAATATGTTACTCTATTGAATAAGTTAGTCAGATAATATAGTACATTCATGTTCACTAAGTACACAGTTACATCAATACCAGTAAATTAGCATGCATATGAAACCACTGCTGTTATAAATAAAAAGGAATGCACTAATACACTATTTTAATTTACATAAATACAATAGTATTTTTTGTGAAATCTGTTTGAGGATTTTCACCTAATTTAAGATCTCTGATCTGTCCTTATGGCCTCAGAACTTCACCTGTTTCTGCAGCTGAAGCTGTGTTCAAAGACAGAGTTGTTCTCCACTGGGACAGACGGTTCCACAATCCTGTCCATAATATTTTGTTATTAATTTTTTTAATAGCAGTTACATCTATATATTTTTGGTCCAATTACAACATTCTGTTCATAACTAATCAACTGGATGTTCCTTCCAGTCTCTCTGCCTGTGGCCAGTCCTGTATTCATGGAATATATTTTTAACAAACCTAAAATTATCCTCCTGTTGCAGTAGAGTGAATATTCATCCAGCAAATATATTTGTCTTTTACTTTTACCACAAATCCTGGTTTTGGTGACAAGTTCTTGTCTCCTGAGGCTGGTGGTGGCTGGGTCTTTTTTATTATTATTTTCTATTTCTATTTTTATTCTATTTTTTCTTGTCTATTATAATGATTTTTAGAAACCTTTTTTTTCTATTGACACCTTTTTAACCATTTTCTTTTGTTTAATAGTTGCATTCATATTACCACAGATCTCCTTGCACGTGCCTCAAATTCAACAAGGCTGAATGGACACCAGTGGACAACAAGCTGCACAAAGCCAGTAGCAGGAGACCCTGGAGAACGAAGACAGGTACGATTCTAAAAGTTGAGCCTGAGAGTCTGTTCTATCGTAGATTTGCGAGAAAGTAATCTACATGAAAATGAGGCTGTCATTTGATGAAAAAAAAACTGTGCAGCTGTGGATTAATAACAAATACTGTATTCACCATTAATCGTGATCAACCTGTTTTATTTGTGAAAAATTAAATTAATAATATTTAAATAAAATATTTCAAGAAAATGTGCAAAAGTATTCAAATTTAGGTTCATAGAGTTGGAGGACTAATTGTGACTGTTCATTTAGACAGTGGTTCATTGTGGACTAATTCATAAGGACTGTTCATTTAGACAGTGGTTCATTGAGGATGTAATGAGTTGCTCTGGATGAAGCTGTTGTACTCAACAATATTACTCGAGCTACAGTACTTCACAATAAATTTGACAACTGTGTCAGTCAGAGACCTATTCACCACCCTGTGCTCAGGGAGACTGGTCTGACCCAAGGCCGGCCTCTGACCACAGGGCCACATCCACAAACACAGGGTGGACATTTAGATGGGATTTCAAACTCCAGATGCTGTATAGAACCATGTTTTTTCCTGCAGTGTGTCTAAATGAGAACATGCGATACAGGAGAATTGAAATCTGACCAATCTGAGTGCCTGACTGTTGAAGTCCAGTGTCACTTGTTGCTAAGCCCTTGGTCAGACTCTCTCTGTGTCGGTCAGTCAGCCACTGAGGCGTCGCCTCCTTCACACTCTCTCTGTGTTGTTGACTGGAACTTTCACATTTACGTCTCACCTTCTCTCTCTCTCCGTCAGCCTGTCTTCCTGCCACTCTTCTGCAGTGACACTGACCATAATGATCTTTCACCATTCTCTTCTCACTATTCCATCAAAACTGTCACTCACTCAGACTGTCTGACTGTTTTTTTAAGATTTTATATTTTTATGTCCAAAACATTGAAGTTAAAAGTAGGAAGGAAGGAAAATTTCAAAAAAATTATAAAATTCTCTTTAATGGTTAATCCATTCCTTAAAAGACAGTGATGCTATGTTGTTTTGCCCTAAGCAAGGAATTTTAATCCTGAGAAGCAAGAACAACAGCAAAATACAAAGTATTTAGTTGTATATATATTTATTATATTTATTATTATATTTATTAAGATTTAAATATAAAGCTATGTTTACTTTTTTGTTTTGAAATACAATCACTTCCATCCTGTAATTTCCCAGTTTTGGATGAATTAAGTAAATCGACTCACTCCAAAATCATTATTAACTTGATTCAAATTGATTTTGCATTTTAATTTGATTTAAATGCAAACTTTTACAATGTTTTTCATCATTTTCCTCTCATTGTTTTCCACAGTTAGAATAAATGGGAGGTCATGGCCTGATGGAAGCAACAAATGAACAATCAATTGAAAGTAAGCATCAGCCAGGAGCACAGGTCAGTTTTGCTCAACCAAACACTTGAGCACACACACAAACACTTTGCAGTAGTATCTAAAACCATTTAACAAATAATAATAAAAAGAGGAAGACGGGGAGGGGCGATGGGGGGGCCATGCTGAGAAAGTTCTGGGACCACTGCCCTAGATTATGGTGTTGTCACTGTGACTAACACGTGTTTGTTTTTCAAAGTGTAACAGGTAATTCACTTTTTGGACTTTATCAGTAACCTGTAGCTAATTCTTGGCTAATTCTTTAGCTGTATTTCTGGTAATAACTTTTTATTTGAGATCATCCTAAGCTAACTTTTTTTTTAATCTTTTGGCTATTTTTTTTTTTTTTCCTGAGCTGACCTGGGCTACTGTTATCAACTAAACCATGGCCGACAGTTTGTGTTTTGGTAACGGACAATTATTGGGTCCAAAAACACTATTAGCATGATCTTGATCAAGATCAAAATGTTAGTTTTGCTGCAAATAACTTCAACTAACTTTGGCTGTCTTTTTATTACTAATACCTTGAAAATACAATTTATTTGGTGAAAGAAATACTCACATTTCTGTGTCCTCGGCTTCAGTGTGAGACATGTGCGTCACACATCAAGTGAAAGTTAATTTCCGAGATGATATATACTGTATGCTGCCAGGCAGAACATGAACCTGCTAATAAACATCACCCTGCATATATAAAAGTGGAGAAGATGAGACTTCACTCACTCACTCACTCACTTGTGATCTTTTGCCCATAAGTATGACAAAATGAAAATACTCCAAAATCCATGATCCTGTCTGTGAGTGTTTGTTGTCTCACCGTTGCTTTTTTTTTTTTTTTTTTTGTAATCTATAAAGCAACATCAGAAGTCTGATGATAGCATTACCACAGAGTTGATTTAAATACAGAGAAGTAGAAGGAGCAGTGGCATCACATTAACCTCACAAGTGTGCACGGAGTTATTACCTGTATAGAGTTTTTATGTGTATACAATATTGTATTGCGTTACTGCCTTGGACGTATAATATTGCATTGTGACATTTATTTGTGTTCACTGGAGGTTTTAGGATATTGTAAAAGAAGACATAATTCAATGACCCCGCTTGCTGACAGACACTTTTGGTAGTTTGCAGGTCCAGATGAGATTATTTGTGTTTTTTATACCTCTGGTTATGTATAAATGTGTACTTTGGTGCATGTGTGTTTGTATGTGTGTGCCTTTGCTTACATGCGAGAGACATGCAGTGTGTGCACGTCCTCTCCTCTGCCTCTGTGTCACCTTTGTTGACTTTGGTTCTGTTGGTCTGCATCACTCTCTCCTGCTGCCTTAATGATGCATATATCCTATCTCCACTCGCTGTCTAATCCCAGCAGCGCTGCCTCGGGAGCAGATTACTGCTCCCAGACACCAGAGCGGAGCAGAGTGGTGGGGGTGAGACCGTAGCAAAAGATGCCTCACTGATACAGTGTACTGTACGGGGTGATGGAAGGAGCCAACACATACATGTCAGCGTGCACATACGTGTGTTCTGTGGAGGTCAAAATGTTTACAGTAGAAACCTTAAGAAGACCGCCATCTTTCTTTTGCATGTTTACATGTTTTACAACATGGGAAACCAACGCATTATAATGAACATCCAACAAATGTTGTTGAGAAAATATTATTTTACAAATGTCTATCATTTCTATTCTAGATTTCTATCATAAATGTCTGTCAGTTGTGTTTCCCAATTGTCTAGTTTAATACTAAATGAAAACTTTTGTAAACCAATAGTACTTAAATATTGATATTTGTGTCTACATCTAACATGGGTTCTTCCATGATACACACATCAGTCAACTATGACAACAACACTCTTTAAACTGGAATAGGGTGAGACAGCTACTGGTCAGCTGTAAGGGATCAGTCAGCACAGTGGTCATGTGACTGTGTGAGCAAATAGTAATAATTGTCACTGTTTCAGTTGATCTATCCACAGCTGTCTGGTTTATTTAAACCTCTTGTTTGCCTTTTATTTTGATCCCAAACGTTGGTCCTGTGCACCATATATATATATTGTTGTGGTTGTTCATTACTTTATTATCTGTTGTTTATTTCTGTGTTCGTCTTACTTTTAAATGTCCGACTCTTGGACGTGGATCGTCTCCTAAAAACCACTACCCCGGGCTTGTTCAGACCTTTGTAGACCTGTGGCTCTGGATGTAAATAATTAGGAGTGGAGGTGTTCATCCAGAAGGTTCTGCCATCCTGTTCGCTACCTTCCAAGAACATGACTTTTAGGACCAAATGATTGCTAATAAAACGTTTGATTGAGAGCAGGAGAAGGTGGGAACCATAAACAGGCTGAATTCTGCCCTTTAATTTCACCATCTCCAGAGGATTGGTTTGGCTTTGCTGCAGAGTGGGTCCTACTCACAAGCAGTTTAGTTGTCTGCCCAAGGACTGGAATTTAATTTGGTGTGTGTGAGAGAGAGAGAGAGAGAAAGAGAGAGTGAGTGTGTGTATTTGAATGCGCATGCGTTTGTGGGTCTGACTTTCTTTGTCTCAGTGTCTGTCCATCTACATGAATCACAGTAGAACATCCCTGTGGCAAAACCTAGCCCACTTCATTTATGCTCTTGTATTTATTTGTCCATGCTGCTTTTCTCTTCTTTTTTTTTTTTAACTGTCTCGTGACTTCCTAGTTTAACAGTGTCATTTGGCCATATTAGGACTTGGGTCTTTGCTCTGCCCTCTGCTCTCTGGAGTCAGAATTGTAATTTTTTGCCCTTGTTAAAACATGTTTTCACTGTGATAGCCCATAATAAGCCCAGATTTTTCTGCTATCTCGGCGTTGTTGACGGGAACTTTAAAGCAGTCATTTTCCTTTGAGCATATGTTGATTGCATGTTTAGAGAATCCCGTAGCTGGATTGTGACTTGTGTAACAGTGCTTGTGTTGGCTCTTCACCGCGCCTACTTTGTGTGTGTGCATGTGTGTTTACGGTGCAGGTTCTTGATGAAAGCCTGGAGCAGAGGCATATATCAGAGTTCCAGCACTAATAAAAGGCCAGCAAGCTGTGCTCCTCTCCTTCTGGGAACACCACCGCTTTTACTGCTTCCCTGACAGCTAGATAAAGTGCCCTTCCAATTAGAAAAATATTTGGCCACATACCTTCCAACAGCAATTCTAGCTTTTTATTTTTCATGTCACTTGATCAGGAGTCCTTGCTATTTTTACAGTGAGCCTCCTTATCATCGTGTCCCGGCTGCGCACGTGTTAATGTTCATCCCACCACTGCACCTACTGCTGTATAATGAAGAATTGGTGATTCTATTTTGGTGCCTCTGTCTTGGTCTCTCTTTTATATTGATAGGGCTGCATGCAGTTATGTTTTTGGGCTGGGTTTTAGGGGCTGCAGCTGTGTATATTTTAGCATTTTGCATAAGAGGATTCATGCTGCGGTGTATGTTTGGGATGATACCATTCTTGTTGCCCTTGTTGTCTGTCTGCCTATAGACGTAACCGCTGATGCTCGTCTGCTTCTCTGTTTAAGAATACAGTAGATGTTTTTTTTTCCCTCTCTCTCTCTCCACTTTTTTATCCAGAGTGCATTAAAATTAAATCTCTCTTGTTGTTAGAAAAGAGGCACACGTAAAAAATAATTGGCTGCAGGAGAGAACAAAGGGTTGGCTCCTCTCTCCTCCCTGCACACCCCAGCTAGGCATTAATACCAAGCCTGCTGCATTGTTCAGCTGTCTGCAGCCATCCCCCTAGCCAGACACTCAGCTCTGGAGAAGTCACTTTTAATGTCTGATAATCAAGGTGAATTTTCAAAAAGCTGCCATTTTCAAATGATGCTGTATATATTATCTGTGTGGATGGTGGTACGGAGCACAGAAGCCCAGGGTAGAAGGGAGTGAGCGTCAGTGATGTGAAGTGAAAGAGAGACACCTCATGGTCGCGCTTAGAACTGCAAGTTTCTTTTTTTTTTTATCTTTGATGACAGTTGAGATAAGGGAAGAAGAATATCTGTTGGAACATCAGTGGGTTTTTTTTCCCTACTTATCAGTAAAAACACATTTTATGTAAGATTACAATATTTTTAATCTAAACATTTTACACAAAATTTAGTGTAATATCGCAGCATCATTTTCTGTATCGGCTGCTTGTCAGGTGAGTGTTTGACTGCAGAGTACAGACACCACTGAACGAAGCTTCAATGCTGTGGTTTTGGAGGGGGAGGGGGGGAGGGGGGTCAGGCAGTTAGTAGCAGAGCAGTGGAGCTGTATTTTCCTGCTACAGGGCACAGACTCATCTTCCTTCTGCTCCTCCCATCTTCCCACCTCCCCCCACCACTAGGTATGATTATTTCTCCTCCGCTCCGCCGCACCATTATATTCCAGGTCCACAGTTACCCCTCCCTGCTGTCATTTTTCATGGCATGTTTTTGCCCGAGTGCAGCACTGCACATTTACACTGTCTGTGCAATATGTTAAGGGGGTGAATATATGCAGTGTGCAGAATGTAATAAGTATATATTTATTTTCTTTGCTGGTGATTTACTAGTTTTTTTCCCCCAGTGCTTGAGAAAAAAAAGGCTGGCTCTAGCCATGTATCTTAACAAACATGACTGCTGTGTATGCACTCGCCTCCAAGGCTTTTTACTCACCGGGGAAACCAAATTATACATCTGAGGCAGACTGGTTATTTTTCGTGCTATGATTGTTAAAAGCCTGCTAGGTATTTGGAGGTATTAGTTTTGCTAATACCAGTTGGGTTAAATCTTGGTTGCATATGTCTTTTGCTGCATGTTAAAGAAGACAACCTGCTTTTTTTTCACAACGATAACATTGTTGACAGCTGATCGGTGATCAGTCAAGGTCTGTACTTCGACTGGAGTCACATTTCCTTTTTCATTTCTCACGCTGAATAAAGCAGCCAGCTGCGTCTTCAACCTTTACACTAAACCGTTGAGAAACAAATATGACCAAAACACAGATATGGAGGGACACTCCAAGATGAAA